CAAATTTGACCTCGTAGGGACCTGTATGGCGTTTTAATCCATATAAGTATTCCTAAATGTCGGATCCAGGTAATCAGCAAATTTCTTGAAGTAGACCAGCTTACAATTTTTTGATAATAGACAATTAAACATGGAGGAAAATTAAGATTTTTATGTAACAGCTTCCGCCCTAGTTAATCCATAAACAACATTGACACAAATTAATACCGAAAATTAAGCATGCACACCTTATTAATTTACCAGTTATTCACTAACTTCTAATTTATGAAGTAAGTATTTGAAACTTTATAATTTTGTTTTTGCCAAAACTCCCTTGAAAAACGTGCAACAGTTTATTAGCGTATGAAATGTTCATTTCCCAGCTTGTGCCAATGTTACTTTAATAATGGAGCAAGTTATGTGAGATTGGAATATAAAGCAGAGATTCGCAAAAGTCTTAATTAGCATAATGCCATATTTTAGCCCAACTCATACAACCCAAATTAGTAAAAACCATAAAATTGTACAAAATCCACTGATATTTTTTGTATCAAAATTAAATAATTTGATATACAATTTGATATTCTCCTTTCATGAGACTGGGTGAATTTTTTTGCATGCTGAATTAACATACGTGTATATAAGTATCAGAGGTGGGGAAAATACATGAAACGTAAAATACAAAATACAGACACATTTTTTGTTATTGGATTTTAAAATATATTTCAAATACATTTTCAAATACTTCTTAAAATTTAATCAAACTGATCAAAAACTCCAAAAATACGACTTACAATGCGAGTGCACGAAGTGTTACACCCAGGTCTTTTTATGACCATGTCGGTTTGATAGACAAACTCTTCATAAACAACGTTTGGTGAGGCACTTGGGCAGATGCGCAAAATTCGGCGACTTATGGGCGCCACAATGTCGCGAAAACGCTCGATTTTTAGGTCAAATCCGACCATAACTCAATTTTCACCGCAAAATCGAGCGTTTTCGCGACCTTGTGGCCCCCATAAGTCGCCGAATTTTGCGCATCTGCCCAAGTGCCTCACCAAACGTTGTTTGTGAAGAGTTTATCTATCAAATTATGATAGTCATAAAAAGATCTGGGTGTAACACTTCGTGCACTCGCATTGTTAATGTGATTTTATACTTAGGATTTTACAATATATTTTTTTAATGAAGCATCATTTTCGCTAGAATTAATTTTTCCTCGCTTGTTCTAGCAATTTAAATAATATTAGTAACAATAATATTCAATAATTTAATACTACTAGATCATTTTTAATTGCAAATTGATAAACAGTAATTGTAAATTCCGAAGTGAACAACATTTAGCATGTTAACCTAGCCTTATTTTCCAGCCTGACCATGCGTCAATAAGAGCAACCAAATCTCGGGTTTAACGGTTTTCATGGTAAAGGGGGGTGGACACAAATAAAAGATAAAAAATGTTAGACCGTCTAACGCGTGCACAAACAACTTTTCAGGTACTTGAGATATTCACATATATCTCATAAGCAATCAAGGGAATTCTCTCCTTCATTTTCTTGTACACTTTTCGCAGACCTGTCTTTGCTCTTTTCTTTTGATCCTAGACATATTGTAGGACCCATTATTTTGGTCTGGAAATAATCCCCAGTTTATTCACTTTAATTCTAGGTACTGTAGTAGGGTCTATTTTTAGTTTTCCGGCTGCATTCCTCAATGATATGTTGGGGGTCATCGTGAAAGTTGATTTCACTCGAGTCACACTTCGGTGGGTGGATTTAGAGGGTGGGGAACCCGGAATCGGTTTGTAATTTTTTCACCAGTTAGCCCATACCTTGTAGTTGTATCGTAAATAGTTGATTTTGGAATTTCTTGTGCAATGAAATGCTCAACCATTTTCTTCTTGTCAGACTGACTCAAATTTTCATAGTAGTGAATAATCCGAGTTGCGACATGCTCTATTTCCCACCTCGCCATTTCTTCCGATTTGCTTATTTTTTTCTGAAAACTTTACCCTATTACCAAATTCGTGTGAACTATCGACTGTATGAAACGTTTTACTCTAGCTAACGAACTTTTCCCGCAAAAAATTCCGCAATCCATTCCTGCTATACCTGACACATGGTGTATTTTATTTATACCTTTTTAAATTAATCCATCTTTTCAAAAATCATTACATCCACCACCCCCATTAATTATTGCGCAGGGATGATAAAATTCCCCTCAGTAAGTATGAATTTCTCTTCTGTGATTATTGCACAATTAACCTCATTGACCACCCCCACCATCTCAAGATTGGAAAGAGAGGGAGGATTACATTTTTATCTAACTTTATCCTTTTATCCTTTTGTAACCAACCGTTGTTATGAACCCTCGTACCTACAGTGTCGGACAGATGTCTACGTCCACATAGTCGCGTCAATTTCATTTTCAAATTGTCACTGAACTACTGAACCAATTTTCATCATTGATATATCAAATTCTCACAAATTTAACGTAATTTCATAGCACATTATTAGTTTTCCGCTAAAAAATTTATTTTAGGCCAGAGATGTATTTTAATTCAAAATGCAAACAATTGGATGGACAAAAATCAACGTCCAGTCAGAGAAAACATACAAAAAAAACTGTAATTTATAAGGAATGTCATAACAATTAATTTTTAATATTTGGTTGGGCCTCCGTTCGCTTTAAGGACGGCTTCAAGGCGTCGAGTCATAGAGTTTACCAAATTCTTGGTCACATCTTCAGAAATGGTTTCCCAAACTTCACGAATTCTGGATTTTAGGCCCGGAATTCCTGAAAAAGATTTTTTTCTTATTTCTCTTTCAATGTGGTCCCACAGATGCTCAATGGAATTCAAGTCTGGAGATTGGGGAGGCCATTCTAGCTTCGGAATTTTTTTTTCTTGAAGTATTCCATGGTGGACGTGGCAGAGTGTTTCGGATCGTTGTCTTGTTGGAAGGCAAATCGTCGTCCAAGTCCAAGTTTTCGAACAGATTCCTGGATATTACGGTCAAGTATTCCCTGGTACTTGTATTGGTCCATAATTCCGTCAACAAATTCCATTTTTCCTGCCCCACTTGAAGCCATGCATCCCCACATCATTACCGACCCGCCGCCGTGCTTAACTGTGGGGTTGAGATTTTTTGGATTCAAAGCTTCTTTTGGATATCTCCATACTCTACGACGCCCATCTGACCCAAAGACATTGAACTTTGACTCGTCAGTCCATAAAATATGTCCCAGAATGTTTGTGGCTTGGAAATGTGGTCTCTGGCAAACTTCACTCGTTTGGTTGCATTCCTCGGTACAATAAGAGGCTTCCGGACTGCTCTGTGGGATTTCAAATTTCCCTTATTCAGTGTTCTTTGGATGGTCATAGGACTAACCTGTTTGCCGAACATCTCCTTGATCTCGGTAGATAGCTTTGGAGCACTAAGTGAGGGTGTAACGTTGACTTTGTTGAGCACGTGGCGTACTTCTCGGTGAGCCAAAATCGGTTTTCGACCACTTCTGACCTTGTTTTGGACTGAACCATTAGCTCTAAAGTTCTTAATGATTGTCTGGATGGTTGTCCTTGCTAATTTATACTTGGTCCCTATTTGTCTCTGCGACAGCCCCCCTTTTTGTCCACCCTTCCAGTCCTGAATGACAAGATCTCGAATAGCGATAGGAATTTCCTTGCGTGTCGACGCCATCATATTTTTCTGGAAGAAAATTATTTAAAAATTAATGCGGCATATGTTATTGATAGATTTATTAAGTTACCTGATTTTATAAATTGGAGAGATTTTTGTTGTTGACAATTAAAGTGAAGTGGACGTAGACTTTTGTCCGCTCAAATTTCATCCTCTCTCGCTCTGCACTATGATTCTCAGTTTTCCCAGAATTTTCAGAAATAGCTCATATGTTTTATGAAATTACGTTAAATTTGTGAGAATTTGATATATCAATGATGAAAATTGGTTCAGTAGTTCAGTGACAATTTGAAAATGAAATTGACGCGACTATGTGGACGTAGACATCTGTCCGACACTGTAGTTTGCCCACGTCAACTGTCAGTAGCGGATTTCTCAAAAACTACTTGATTAATTTAAAAACGGATAAGTGCATCAGATTCAGCATGCAAGATGCGTTGAGAAACACTTGATAAATTGGTAATATTGAACCCCTAGCTAAGCATGGAAAATTTGGAAAGGAAGCGAGCGGCATTTATTTTGCACATAAAAAAGTAGAAACTATGGTTTGGGTTTTTAAACGGTGACAAGCTCACCATAATTAATGCATACAAAATTTCCCACCGTTCAAAAACCCAAACCATAAAGTTGACAGTTTCAAGTTGCTGAAACAACTAAATTTCAATTTGGTAAAACGTACTATAAATCGGTTGGTCAACACAGGGACAAGTAATAAACGACAAAGACAAAAAATCCCAAATCGTGAAACGACAATGCTGAAAACGCTAGGCGCCAGAATCAGAGGAAATCCGCGCCGGAATCAACGAAAATTGGCCTAACAGAGGGACGTCTCAAAATAAAATTTTACGAACGAGTTATCGGTCGTAAAATTTCTCCAGTAAAACTGTCATAGAAACATGCTTTTGGCCCATAAATAGGTAAAAATCAGATGCATAAGAAAAAAATGCTAAAATTTTCGCATTCCTTATACCCAATAGTGTGCCAAATTTTAGCGAAATCTATTAAGAATTAAAAAAGTTTTTCCTTGAGTGTATTTTCAAGGATGACCAATAACCGCATCCTTAGGTGTTTTTTTTTGACTGGCGCCTAGAGATTAATTTGCTCCGCCTAAAAAAATCATCAATAACGACTAACATTAGTGAGATTGGGGAACGCTGTGTTAATTAAAATGAAGGATACTTATTTTTAGACTTGATGCATTAATGGTATATTTGGTGAGACATTTATATTCATACATATGTACCAACTTAATATTTTTATTTTTCTTGAAGATTACTACATATTGTAAACGAATAGAATTTATAAATTGATGAAACCCATTTTTTATTCATATTTATATCCAATAGTATAAAAGATGGAAGAATACCAGAACATATAGAGAATGTTATAAAATTTAAAACTAAATTATCCAATTAATAACTTCAAAGGGCTCCAAGTTAAGCCCAGGAAAAGGAAAATCCAGTGTTGACAACGCTGGCGTCCGAAGTGAAAGTGACGAGGGAAAGTCCTCCCGGAATCTGGAACGGGGCTGGAATCGTAGTTCCGCAGAACCTATCGGAGTAATGTGCCCGATTTAAACACCGTTTTCAATTTAGATCTGCAAAAAAAGGATTTACCTGGATAGTTGGGTGTACATATTGTTCATCCAAACGAAAACTGCGACTGCATCGTAACTGCAGGAGGAATCGTTCTCCACATCCATCCTAGTGAAGGTCAAGGTGCGATCGCCTGTATCGGTTGGGTTAAGGATGAACGCGGCGTTTTCTCGATTGGCGTAGTTACCACCACCAACTGGGTAAGAGTATGATCCCGAGGCGTCAGACAAGCTGGCGTAACCGGACAAAGCTGGTGTGCCGTCTAAATATCCGGAAGCGAAATATTGCAAACTGAATCCCATAGCACCAACGGTTGGTCCAGCAATGAGAGTGATCAGATAGAGGCCACCCGCAACGTTGAAGTCTTCGCCGACGGTGGCCAGTTCAAATTGGCGGCCTGGACCGGTCGCAGTTAATTCCGTAACGTAAAGCTTGTCCTCTGCACGAAGGCCGGATTGCTGGATGCCAATCCGTAAGGAATCGTAGGGAGTCTTGACCGTCCAGACGCACCTTTGTCCAGCCGGAATGGCGGCGCCGAGGTTGAAGTTGACCGCGGCGGAGGACGCATCTATCTGTCCACCGCACGTGGTTACATCGATGTTAGGTGCTGAATCTTCCTCATGTCGCGTAGTGACTTCTCGAATCCATTCCCGGTAGTACGAAGTTTCCGTGTAGACACCGGGGAAGCTGCGGAAAATATAATTTTTACTAGAACGAAGTCCGTTTAAGGGAGCTTACCCTGGTCTAGCGCAACCCCGTCCCCACGACACGATGCCACAGAGTGTCTTGTCAGCTCCGCAAACGATTGGGCCACCAGAATCTGAAATAAATATTTTTTTCAATTGTACCGTGGCTGGGGTATTTGGAGACGTTCGTTCAAGTAACCCACCCCCTTGGCAAGAATCCTTTCCACCTTCTCCATAGCAAACCATACTCTCCGTAACTACCAAATTCACAGTAGCATAGGAAGCGTTGCAAGGGGCATCTTCGACATATGGCACGTCAACCTTCATCAGAACGGAAGGAGATGAACCACCCTCTGTAAGTGCACCCCACCCAGCAACCGTGGCAACGGCTGTGTCAGTGAAAGAGTGAGAATAATGAATTTCACAAAAATTCGACATAACAAATACTTTAATTTACCAGTTGGAGCAAAGTTAAGGTCTGGAAGAATAACGGGTTGGACCTCGGGGGTAAAGTTGAATGGAGCAGAGACCTTGAGAATTGCGATATCGTTCTCGGTGTCGACCGGGGTATCATAACTTGGATGGATAATGATCTGCACAACTTGACGGGTCTGCTCGTTACCTTCGACGACGTTAATATTGTGGTCACCAGCGACCAAAGTGTATTCTGTAGGAAATTTGGGCGCATAACTACCACGATCTGTCTACGACGAGTCGTAAAAACTACGGAATTTGTATATAAACACTTACGGGATGGAGATCCACCTACACAATGTGCAGCCGTGACGGCAAAATTCTCCGAGATGAGGGAAGCTTAACAATTTTTAGCATGATTAGCATATTGCCCAGCATATTATTAGCATATTATGTCATACACTTAAATATGTACCTCCGCACCAGTGACCGCCTTGTCGAATTTCCAACATGAAAGGGAATTCGTGCATTGCGGCTTCCACTCCGCCCACAATCTTTCCAGGGTTACGCCCTATAAAAGTTTGCGGTTGAACTTCTTTCGTTGGCATTGCTGCGAAAGAATGGGGGAATATGAAAAAATTGAAATTCTGTGAGTGAACAAAATCGTAATTAATTGTACCTGCCGCCATGGCGACGAGTGCGAGTACGACGACGATCTTCATATTGCAGTCCGTAGTGGTTGAGTTGACTCAAATTATGAAGAGCTGGAATGAAATCGGTCTGGTTTTATAGTGCGAGATAAGTCCATCCATCCCATGCTGGAGAGTGGGGATGATTATCGATAAGCTTTCATTGTGTAAGTTTCGACGTTATCATTGGGGAAGTCCGGGAAAGAATAGTCTCCGTTTTTCCGTGTGTGTGGTAAGTATCAAAAATAATAGTTATATAATTGTTTGGGATTTAACACAGATAATTAATCGGATCTGGGCCAGGCCACTAGGTGAGGAGGGATCGATTAATAAACTTGTGCAATAATTTACCATGTGAAGCTGGGACGTCTAATTGCTTTGGGCGACTTATGTACATAATTTTTTACGTAACCTGAAAAACCCGGAGATTGGGCCAAGAATACATTTTGGTTGGGTATAGATGTACAGATGCATATATAAGCTTATAATTGAAACTTGGGGATAATCATGCATAACCTTGACACTATATGACGAATTGATTATATATTGTGTACATTTATAGAATGGGAAATTCCTTGCCATGAAATAAGTTGAAGTTTTTATTTTCGCTCAGTATTTTGGGATTTCCATATATTTGGCCTGGTTATGCAAGGATGTAGGGTAAAATATTATATAGCAATTACTATGGGTTGCTCCCACATATGTACATAAATATGAAGGACACATTCAAAATGTAAAAATTTACCAGACAATTACGTGCCATCCTGTCAAATTTTTCATTTCCTATGGTTTCAATTTTTTCATTAGTTTACTAATATCAACGACCGTTTACCCTACGTGGCGTGCTAGCAGTCTTTCTGCTGTTAAATCACACCTGCACGAAATTAGTGCACGAAAATGTTTTTAAACGTTTAATAACACGCAGCAAAAATCCTGAAAAGTGCATGAAAATGCACGAAAATGCACAACAATCAAAGTGGCAAATAATATTGTAATGTTGCAATAACATTGTAATATTTTTTAAATAATTGGTAAATTTACATCTCGTTGTGCTATTTTGTAGCATTTCCATAACCATCTTCGTATTTTAGCATACAACATTTTCCATTTCATTAAAATATCTAAATATTTTAATATTTAAGAAATTGTGTTATACATAAGGTTGCAAATCAGTAAGGTTTCAAATAAATAACCGACTCTATCTCCGAGTTGAGATGGTAGGAAAGTATAAAAATTCTTCAAAATATGAAATTTCCTGCATGAAGATTGTTTCATTCATTTTTATGCATTGTTATGCACCGTGCATGCATAACAACAATTTGATGCGCACAAAAAGAAACACTGCGTGCTGTTAATTAATTTTAAGGGAAATAATGCAGCAGAGAAAATCAATTACTTATTCATCCAAGCAGCATTTCCCAAGTTATTATTAAATTAACGACAAAAGTTTGAGTACAGATCGACAGCTTGTATGAACGTATCTGCAATTAGGTATCTGTCTGATATGGAGGTGAGAAGTGGGAGTTATTTTTAGAATCATAATCAGTTATCTGAAGTATTTTGTTGCTCTGGTTCTCCACGGGGGTAACTAAACTGAATGAATACAAGCGTAATGTCAGGTATGGGTGAGGAGATATGTATGAGACGACACAAGGAAAAATTAATTATACTTGAATTCGGTATAAGGGAGCAAATAAATTTACAGATATCTACATACCTGTCTCAAATGTGGTGTTCAAACAATGAGTTTTTGTGACAAAATTTAATGGCAGGTTTGCAGAAATTTCACTAAGCCTTAACAAGTCTCATTTCAGTGAGAGGTCTGAAAAATAGCGAAATTTATGTGAAATATTGTACCGCGTTCTAACAGGAAGGAGAAATACATGGTACTTCAATACTCCATGTTTAGATACATAAATCTGTAATTTATGCTTTAATGTTCTTTTACATATAATAATAATAATAATAATAGTAATAATAATAATAATAATAATAACAATAATAATATTTATTCAATAAATAACCTTTACACGGCTCATTTCCCATAAAATTACAGCTTAATTGTCTGCATCATTTCACAATATGTTCTTTTATAATAAATTTCATTATTTCTCATCAATCTCATACTTCTCATCTCAGGCCCTACTGAGATGATTGATTATATTTGTCTAGAATATAAATATAAATCCAAGTCGTAGGTAGGGCACAAATAAGTACTTTTATACATTGGTTGAGTCTACTTAAAATTAATCTACTGAAGCAGCTATGATATCCTGCGTTGGCATGTTGTACGAAATATATGTTTAATATTTAGATAGTCACAGTTTATATAAATGAAAATTTTTACTTCTAACAAAGGAACCTTATGTACTGTCAACTCTAGACTTCCTTCGGGTTCGTGTTAATTGATAGATAATTTAGTGCAAATAAAACTTTGTCATAGAACATGCAGTACAAAATCGGGTTTTCGCGAAAAATTTTGCGAGAACCGCACCTACACCTGCAATTTTACCAATGCTATTAACATTATTAACCTAGCCCACAGCCTTCGGATCGATGAAATGAGTTTTCTAGGATTTGGATAAATTATATGCAATAGGTCTGCAATTTCATACTAATTAAGAATATGCAAAAAGGATGCAAAAAGTTGTTTTTTTGCAAATTGTAAAAACTTTTGAAAATTTGAAAATTTATGAATAAAGTTTTTAAAAGGATAAAAATTGCTATCGTTGCAAAAAAAATCGCACACATTTTCAGGAATTGTAATTCATAACTTTGCATGACAAAAAGGTAACGCTGAAAACTGGCAGTCCAAATTTCAAAATTTTTTGAAATTTGTGAAGATGTGTGAAAATCCTGGTATATTTTTGCAGGAAGGAAAATATTCACCTTTTTTAAATCCTTTTTTGCGCTGCATGAAAAGCGTCAAATTTGTTTAGTTAGAATTTCAAGTAAAACGATTACAACAAATATTGGATTATATCAAATAAAAACATCATAGTTTTTGTATATCTTGGATATAAAAGGGACAACAACCAGCTTTTTTTTGGATGAATGACTTCAGTTCATTGTTTCAACTATGAATTATTACCGAGATACATATGTACACAAACAACGAGTGGTCTGGTCATCACCTCACCTGCAGGCAGACTGGACTAACAAATCATCTCGTATCATTATGAGCATACCTGTTCACTTTCAGTCATAATAGCGATTTTGAGAGTGAATGATGGTGAATGAGAGTGAATTTGGGATAGTCTGAATGAAAGTGAATCAAATTCTCTCTCATTTCAAACCTATGACAGTGAATGAAGATTATCATTTTTTCATTTATTTCACCCTATGCTTAATACACGGGGCAAGCAAAGAATGACGCGGATTGAAATGAAAGTGAAATTGATAGAAGCTGAATGAAAGTGAATGAAAATCGTCTTTCACAGATTAGAATGACTGACTATGAAACGAAATTTTCGTTTTTGAACAGGTATGATTATGAGCAGGTCAATAATAATAAACAAAAAAATGTATGTATTTACATGATCAAGATTTAGAAGAAAAAACCACATATCACTTTCTGAACTCAACCGTCCATGAAAATTTGGCACACATGCATATTTAACAGCAGCAGAAATTGGACTTGTAAATAAAATAAGACAAGTAAGTAAACAAGGAGAGTGAATAATCTCCATATCCCAAATCCACCCGCATTAAAATATTTATACTAATTACTATGACTAAAATGTTGCATCTATGGCGACAATTTCTCATTACGAGTTTAATGCGTAATTATTTAATCCACTGACTTTTTTCCACGTAGTAAATGAGCTCGGCTAAATAAGTTATGGGTGAAACAATGGACGGTGAATGGACTTCGCCAACGCACAAATAAATAATGTGTGATGTGATCCGACCCGTCATTCGAGATGATGATGATGAGCAGAGTTTCGTTTGGTTCATGTATACCTTGTATATCTTGCTTTTTGCAAAACAAACACCAAAATTTTCAGAATTGTAAATTTATCGTAGAGGTCAGATACAAACTTTAGTTTAGTTAACCATATCTTGCTTTTTGCAAAACAAACACCAACATTTTCAGAATTGTAAATTTATCGTAGAGGTCAGATACAAACTTTAGTTTAGTTAACCATATCTTGCTCTTTTGCAACACAAAGATTGGAGAAACAGTTGGGCCACCTTGTACTTATTCTACGATTCGAGAGATTTATTTTTTTCATAATCAAAATTTCTTTACCTGATGCAATTTGAGGCGGGAAAGGCGGACAAAGGTCTTCCCACATGTCTCACACTTGTAGCTCTTTCCTTTCGTATGGGTAGCAATGTGGTTCTCGACTTTCCCGATTCGCCACTTTAAATTTGTACTACTTGTGTTCGAAAATTTTGAAAAATTTCTAAATCCTGAAAAAACAAGAATTTTGAAAATTGTGAGTTAAAATTTTGAAAATTTTTTAATGTCTTAAAATTGTTGAAATTTGGAAAATTGTCTAGATCTTGAAGGAAATATGAAAAGTTGAAAAATATTGAAATATTGAGAAATTTCGAAATTTTGAAAAAATTTTATGAGAAATATCGAAAAACCTTGAGCCATTTTGAAATTTTGATAAAATTTGAAAAAATGTTGAGAAAGTCGGAAATTTTTAAAAATAAAATACTGCAATTTGGCTTGTGTAACGACTTTAGAGTATTGATAAGGATTCCCCCAAGGAATCTCAATCCCCCAAGGTTTTATTACGTCTGGAAAAGTGTATGAAGAATCCCACCGTTGCTGGGATTCGTTCAAAATTGTTCTAGTTTGCGTTAAGTGAGTTTTGAAATTGATTGCATTGAAATTGGAAGCTTTCTGCGGAACATTTTACTTTTTAAACGTTGGTTTTACACAACTTGTTGAGGTAACCCTCAATATATCTATCAATATATTCTGTTAATGTCCCACGAGGTAACGACTCTACGGCTTGAAAGTGTTTCCGATGTACGTATGTACATCTCCGCCTTGCCTTAGATGGAGAAAGAGACCGAAATAACTACATACGTAGCACTGTAAAGGAAAAGAAGACAGCGGACCGAAGAGAAGAAGAGATCTCTCCCACCATCCATCGGAGGAGGAGATCAGGGGGACGACGACGAGGATAGATTAGATTAGATTTAGTTAGGTTAAGTAGTAATTAAGGTAGTTTAGGAAATATTGAATAAAGAAAATAGTTAAAGGAGAAAACCCCGTAACAAAAGAACCATGAATCGTATTAGTGTTCTCGTTCATGAACATAAACAAGCCCACTTGTGCATCATTTCCTGGTCCTTTAACGTAAGCAGTGTATTTCACCAGGCATGAAACAGTTAATAATTAAAAATCGTAATTATTTTACCATTGGCAGTGAAACGGGTCAACATTTCGTAAATTTTTAAATAACCCTAAAACTCACGAAATTTTAGAAATTTGTCGAGTTATGAGATCCCTATTATTGATAATTTTCAAATTTTTAGAAAAAACTTGCCAACGTCAATCATCATATTTTTTAAGAAAGTGTTTACAAGTACTGATACGAATAACAACATTGAATAGCTAAATTTGTCATTTTAATGCAAAAAATTCAGTACTTTCAATATCTGAAATTTTATTTGAATAAAATAACTTACTTACGTATTGCAGGACGACCACAATTTATCTCAATTTTTTACATTAATTTTTGGCAGATTTATAAAACTGGCATCTAACTCTAACTTCTTCTAATTTCGTTCCACCAAAAATAAAATGTGGTCAAATTATGTCCTTGTAGGAAAACAAAATTCCTCCCTCAACATGCAGTTGTAGTTATGGTTAAGGGAAGAATGTAATCTAATTATTCAAATTAGGGTGAATTGTATTGTATATTCATTATTCAAATGTCTTTCCCAAATCATTGCATACAATGAACCAGTTCATCCACAATGTTCTACCTTTGGTGACATAAAATATAAATTATTTATTAACCTATTTACTGTTACTTACAAAGAAGGGTTCCTGACTGCATATCGCCACCAGGTTTCCCACTATACTTTTTACAACCTACTGGGGCCCAAGATGAATGATCCATTCACATTTCCGTGTAAAACTCATATTTGGCGCCGTATCGTGGCGCTAAGCTTTTAAAGCTGGATTTTCGACCAATTTCAAGCCTTCATAACTTTTTGAATTTTGGAGGGATTTTCAAAATTTTTTTATCAAAATGATCAGAAGAATCTAAATTTTAAGAAAAAATTGAAAAATAAAAAATAACATTTTCTTGAGAAATTTTTAGCATTTTTGGGCCGATCGCTGGATCAGCGAAATTGCGAAAATTTTCAAAAAAGTTAAAAACAGGTATTTTGATTTATTATTATTTTTTTTTATTTTTCTTTGGAGCAACATGCAAGAATGCTGCCCCCTGTTGCACGGTGGACCTGTCGAGTATGACAGCTCGAGAACGATACTGCCACCGCAATAGGTACCACAGGACGCTGACATGTCCTGTGTGCAACATCGGGCAATCCCAGCTCTCTTAAAAAACATTTAAAAACAAACCATGCCTCCTCATCATCACAAATATGTATAAATAAATATGATATAATTTGCAAACACAATCTCTTTATTTCATCCCCATTCATCCATGCCGTCATATTCACTCATTCCCCCCGCATTTGTCACATTCTTCCCTCATTCTCCGCACCCCAAACACATCCGCAAGAATGAACCCCCCCATATTTACTTATACTACAAATACTTCCATGCGTATGCCTATACGTATACCATGCATGGAACGAAGCCTATAAAAAAATCAATAATGGTCTTTTAGAAGATAGATGCTTCCTATTGTATTTAGGTAATACTCCAACATGGGGAATGATAAGATTTGTAAGACATTCGAGACATTTAGAGGTTCCATATTTCAGCTAGTTGCTAATTTGTTTATAACGGTTTACTAATATTGCAAGTCAAACCCTCGATGTAGTTTTCCCTAATCCATCCCCACAACTAACAGGAATGGAGAAACGGGATTTATTTAACAATTTAACTGGGTCACAAATGTGGCTAATCATAAATAAAATATGATTCTCCAGCACGTGTAGCCCCAATTCGTATCTATAATAATTGATTTATTGCATCATAGCCAACTGCCTTTGCACATACATGAATGGTTACATAAAATTGATAATCATAAAATAGATTATAAAGTATATAAAATTAGTCATTAAGTATTTATTGTTCGGAGGACAAATCAAAATATTGTGAAACTTTATGCCAAAACAAGAAGAGATTATTGAGTAGTTTGTCACTACATTTTGCAGAGAAAAGAGTATATGTAAAGTTGCATGGTATTTGTACTTGGGTTAAAATTCGGAAAATGAGATGCCGGGTCGGGATTGTAGGTCGCGTCTTGGATGTGGTACAGCACGTTGGAAGCGCCAGGTGGGACGGCGGCAAATTGGGAGGTATAATTATCTAAACGGGGCGATGTAAGAATTTAGTTACGAACAAATGTGGTAATGATTATTACCGCGTGTTAGAAATATGTTAGTGCATCATCGTAGTTACATATGCATACTTAATAGTTACTGAGCGGTAATAAAGTTCTTACAGGGCATTAAAAGATATAGGTGTGCCGGCCAAGTGGTAATAAATTTGATACCAGTCAGGGACAAATTTATTACCGTGGTGATAAAGTCATTTGTATTTCTACAGCGCGGTTATAATTACTGCAAATGTTATGTAGTGTAGTTGGCCGCCCTTGGAGGTGCTATGACATTCTACCATAGCGGTAATACTTTATCACTGAATAGTAACAAATATTAGAAAGATAAATCCCGCCCTGTCCCCAATATTACGGAATGGATAATAACAATTGGAGTCAATTTGTTTCCTCATGGTAACAAATTATTTGTATGCGTATATATTACCCCGTGGTAGCATGTCGTAGCTCTTACAGCGGTGACAATATTATTTTACAAGTGTATACAGGTATATTTTCCTCACCATGTACAGCACCTCCAAGAAAGAGAACGTTCACCTCATTTAGCTTTGACCATTCGATCCACTCTTGCATGTCAAGGGTCGCCTGGGCAAATCCTGCCAAGGGGTAGAGGACCTTAGCAATCGTTATGTTTATCGCGGATGCATCAAACGTCTTCATTTTCAGCTTTGTCACAATCCCAATGTACCCCGGCCCGACGCCTCTCAGTGCCCAGAAGAGGTCAGAATTGGTCAACTCGTTCGCCGTGACGAGATTGCCGGACGCCGTAACCATTTCGAACTCGACCACATTGTCGGCTGCCAAACCGTAAACAGAGTCAAAGTAGCCGACCCCTCCACCGATCGCGTTGCCCCCGATGGCCACCGTGAGACACATTCCGGCGGGAATTTACCGTTTTCCCGCGATCCACAATTTAGCGTAAATGGGCCCTAGCAAAGCGCCAGGTTCAAGATGCGCCGTAACGCCATCGTCCAACAGGGTGACGGCGTCCATTAACCGTAGATCGACGACCAAAGTGTCATTATTGCCGAACGAGAGGGCTTCATAAGAATGTCCCCCGCTGTTCGGAATCAGCGGGATTTGTTCGGCGAGACCGCATCGGACAATATTTTGAACGTCGCGGGCCGTCCTGGGGAGAAAGTAAGCGAGCGGGTAGACCTTCTCGATGCGGAGGTTCCATTGGTGGTTCACCGTGGCGTAGTAGGTCGGGTGTGAGAGGGGTGTGATGAGATCGGTCCAAGGTTCACTGCCCCCAAGAGAGAGGCAGGCTTGGAGGGGGGAATAGTTGAAAGACGTGCCGACCTGGGGAGAAATGAAACATGATTTGATGTTACGTTACCACAAAATGTGTAAATGTTACCAGAGAACCTCGTGGTTGGTATGCGCGGGATCCTTGTTGTGGGAAATTTCTGGGGTTGTATGAGACGCTGCGGCTGTAAATTTTTATAATTAGTTAGTAGTTATTTTAAAAAAGTACTCTTTAAACCTAAATGAACTGAATATACACCACAAAATTATCAAGGGTCGTGTAACAACGTGGGGCATCACACATAAATTTTTAAACCCATTCCATTCTGCAGTAGAAAGCCCAGCCCATCTATATCCAAGCACCACGTTTTCTTGTGTAAATGGACACGAAAACCATGCCACCACCGTGAGAAATGTGAACTACGAGAAGGCTGAGTTTGTACCACCACCGTCAATCAAAAATTAAATCAATTCTTCATCTCACAACTTTGCGTTTTGGCGTCCAAGTTTCACATAAAAAATATTAAGCCTGGCAACTATTCATTTTATTTTATTCCAATAAATGCAAAAAATATGTCCAGAAAATTTGCAATGTTTATAAAAAATGTGCGGAAAAAAATACAATCAATATTTGGATGGTATTGCTAATTTTTAATTAACGAATGTAAAACTTGAAAGTCGAAACCGGAGTTTGTGATAGGAAGAATTAATTTAATTCTTCGACACTGGTGCCACCTACTAATCATCAATGAAAGCCATAATTCTTCCGTCTTCTCGAAGTGGTGTCTGTGTAGCTACAGATTCTCACTGTTTCGCTACCGTATAGTCAGCCTTCTAGATATATTATATTATACTCTACTTCTATATCTATATCCTACCGCGTTAATTTCTCACAGTGCCCCAAAAGCTTTCCAGGACATGAAGCAGATAAAAAATAATTATCAGATGGTGACGACAACAATGTGTTTGTGTGGAAACTCAAATATATTTGAGTAAAATTTATACAAGGTTGTTAAATCTTGAGTAAATTTTACTCAAATTTATTTAATGTGTGGTGGTATGATAGATAGAGCGCCTTTCAGCAACAAGTTTGAAGCCAAATTGTTACTTTGCGTGTGCACTTAAATTACCGGGCCGGTGACAATGTGTGTAATGTAATGACATATGTACATACATATGTATGTTAATATTACCAGATTAAAATATTTACTTTAACAAATTACGTCTCTTCCATTGAGTAGTGTTACGACGTACCTGTTATAATGAAGATAAGCGCTGGCAAAAATATTCTAACAGTTCCCATGGCAGATAGATAAACGGCTGTGTTCTTCTGGCAAAGGGTACATAAATGAAACTAAATATTTAGAAAGTAACCCTTAAATGCTTTTGGGTTGGAACAAGTAAGTACGTATGCGATAAAAATAGTGCGGGACGGGAATAGTTTGGAAAGGTTAGAAAATTTTCCATGTCCCTTTTTTAGTAAATAGAGTCTTATGATATATATACTTACATAGATAAAGTGAGGACTCGAGAGATTCGTGGGATATCGAATTATTCCTCAAGTTTCTTAAAGGTCGGTGACCCAGTTAAAAATAAAAGGGTTCTTTTAACTTCTTGAGGAGGGTCACGTGGACTACATACATGCATAACTTCCAAGTAAATAAATAAATATATGCACACTAAATAAAGTGGTAGGAAATATAGATATGACTTTAATACCCTGGTAAAAAAGCGGCTAACTAAATTGTGGTATTAAAATGTTACCGAGTAACAGAATATTTTGATCGACTCGGTAACAATTTTATTATCACGGTGGTACAACTTTGACTCATATGTAGAGTTGTACGATGTCCTTGCCCTGGACATTTATGGCATCAGGCATTTGCCCTATATACCGTGCATTTATAAATCAGGGCATTTTGGACATTTATTTTTTACGTTTTCGAACTACAAAGTAGCATGAATGTGCGCCATCATCTGTTAGAATAAGTGAAATTGATGACCAATTTAAGTTTTCTCCTTCCAAATATTCACTTAATCTATTTTCAACTACATTTGTCGTGATTGTTGTGCGTATTAAATCGAAATCCTAGTTTGTTTAGTCATCAGTTTTTCTTAAATTGTAACTTTCCTCCAAAATGCTTAATACATATGTTGTGTGTAATTCACAATTGTGCAACTTATGATTGTAGGATTTGGCCTCATTCCAATTCCAGTTTTGCTCGTCTTAATTCCAATTCTTTTACGGGGTGGATTGACCACAATTTTGAAACCCTTGGGCAGGAGTCAAATTCAAATTTGTTTTAATTACTTGGCGTCACATTCTGGCAGACGATTGTTTAATTTGTGACTTGTTTGAGTTGCGAATTGGTAAGTGAGTCAGGCTTTCGTAGACGTTTGATTCCATCGTGAAGAACAGGAAAGGAATCACGTCCCAATCCTAGATATATGAATACCACGTCAAATAACTTGTAATTCGGCCACCAGTATTTGTCCCTAATTCACCAGGGTGTCCAGAAACTACGGTAGTTTTACCCGAGTAATATACCAAAAATACGCAGGGCTTTTACATATTGTGCTTGGTTCTACATACATATGTTTGGGGTAAAATTGCACGATTTAAAAACCATGTAAATTTAGCACACGTGGCATTCCCAACTTTATTGTGGTTCAAGAGATGTGTCAAATTCTCAATAATACAATATACCCAAGTTGGTTTTATTAATTTGCCGCCAAATCAAAAGCTGGGGAACAATGCTGCCTTGACCCCACACCTATTTGGGTACCTGTAGCGGTATTCGTTCAAATTTAGCGCCATGTGAATCCTGGCGTAAACGTGGAGCCCTCTATACCTCACATGACGCAAAAATCGACCTTTTTCATACTCTCCTAGGAAATTACGCTCAACCTTCTTAACACGTGGCACAAATTTGTGCGTAGCGAACCTCCCATAATTTTTGGACGCCCCCATAACAGAAGCTACATATTTATTTGCAGACCCGCCTTCAAGAATGTTCCCTCCCAGCGTTGCCGTTCTCTTGGCAATCGTAGTCATCCTGATGTCGGATAAGCCTCCGGGTCAAACCTCCTGATGCGCTGTCCCGCCGGGAAAACGGTCACCTACGCGTATGGAAAGAACGCGTCCCTCGACAAGAAAAACCCGGGGAATCAGGGCGCCTCCCGTTTGGCGGACGTGACCTTTTGGTGCGAATCTGCGAAGATGACTTGGATAGAATTTCATAGCTCCTGCTTCCGTGAGGGGGGTGGAGAAGTCATTGAGGCAACAACGTCGCCCAACTGGGTATGGAGGTATTATTAGGATGGGTTGGGCCAAGTTGAAATAATTATATTTGTTGGATTTGACCTTTGACCTTGAATAAAATAAGATGTGGGAATAAAAGTACATTGTTTGCCATTATAGAAGCTACATATTGTGACGTTTTTCTATCGTCTAAAATGGTTCATGTCCGAGAATAGCTCAAAATTATGAAGTGGGAGAGACTTTTGACTGAATTGTTAAAGAATTATTTATTTACTTCTAGAACTTTTATGTGAAAAAGTGAATAGTGTGCTGTTTGTACATGTGAGAACTTATATCAATCTATAAATCTAGTGTAATTGGAAATGTGGGAGAATTTTTATGTGTCCAGAAGAAGTGGAAATATTTATTTATGAGGGTGTTGCAAAATGCAAGACCCATCAAGCTGAAGGGTTCTACGTGACTGGAGATTGGGGCGAGCAAATCTCCTCGACCAAATCTCTCCAACTATGTACTTGAGACTAATTGATATTGAGTGATAAGAGTGTCTCCAACGAGACTCTCTTATCACTCGTTTCCTGTGAAATCTCTCCAATATGTCCCATGCTGAGGCGAGTTTAAGTTTGGCCAAAACTTAACTCAGCCAATTAAATATTCATGGAATATTATTTATCTCTTGGCCTTCTCCATCTCGTCTGGTGATCAATCAGACAAAGTGGAGACGGTCACAATATGTACATATACTGGAATTTTATGAAATAGAGTGTTAGTATCCGAGGAATCTAAATCAACCGTGACTACGCCGGATGACATGAATATTTTTTTGCATACAAATATGTATCATACTCCATGAAAAAATGTTTAAATGCCGTCATCAATTATTTCATGAAATATATATTGCTTTCCTACACGACTGCATGTCCTTAATTTTACTTTATTTCAGGCCTTACGTACATTACTACTTACATAAGAAGCATATTTCACCATTACCTTACCGAATTCGATTTTCCTGCCAACGGTAAAACTTTCCCTTATCTGAAATCGATAAGCCGGAAATATCTTCTAATCGTCAAAAACCTACGAACATCTTCTTATTTAAATAACTTAAAGGTTCTTTATGAACCATGGAAGATTTGTCATCCCTCGCCGATCATAATACCCTGATATATCCACACCCCTGTGGCCCCAAAGCTTACAAAGTATGTTTCCCAACTGAAAAAGGCTTTCGAAATGGGTAACCATCAAGTCTCAGAACATACTTAATTTCCCCTGGACTTTGGCAAATTTTGGCCAAATATGGATCCGCTTATCGAACAATGATCACCTACGGCGTCTTGATTAACGATCAAAAAGTTTATTTGAAAACCTGTTCTCCACTTAAACGTACAATTCTTAAAATGTCCTCCCTCATACTGATGCACGCTTGCCGAATGTTGGCTTTAGCCATGTTGTAGTTCCTATATGCTGTTACATCCCCAGCTGGCAGCAAGTGGTTAAAAAGACGTGATTTAAATTTCATCGTAGACACGTGAAATTTGGCATGTACATCCGCCTATATATTCTACACAATAATATATAATCAGTTTCCGTTTGACCCGCTTTGAATTTTCCGCTAAAAATCAAAAACCATGTTTCTTAACTAAGGCGCTTATGGGAAAAGTGTCATTTTCAAAAAATCATAACTTGACACTCAGATGGAATTTCGAAATACTGTTTGGCTAGAAATGTTTCATAAGAGCCTAGGGAGTTTTTAAAAATGGTACCAGACTCCTCCAACTAACACAATAATTTGTAAGAAATTCGGTAAATTTTGAGACCACACCCCCTTAAGGGTTAGGGGGAGGAGTCGGGTACCATTTTATAGTGTTATATGATGCGACCATATCCTGGGAAGGAGTTGTCCAACGAGAGGAGAATATTTAATTATCGTCCTTCAAGGGCACGTAGAGTTATTGAGAATTCTTTCGGTATAATCGCTCAAAGATTCAGCTTGCTTCGTAGCCCAATTCCGGCGACGTCGCAGAACGTGATGAATTATGTTAAAGGTAACTCAATTGACAGTATTTTGTTAAACGTAATTCGAAATTAACATAAAAATTTCAGCGTGCATCGCCCTGCATAATTTTCTACGTACTCAAGATCTCTCGGCGTCGAATGATGCACAGTATATTCCTCACGGATATGCAGATGTCGGTGATGAAAACAATGGGGAGTGGCGGCAAGGAGAAGCATCGCTAGCTTTAAGAAATATTAACAGAATGGGTTCCAACAATACCAAATCAGCCGCTAAAGAAATGAGAGAAATTCTCACAAACTACTTTGTAAATGAGAGTAGTGTTCCATTGCAGAGAACAATTGTAGGTTTGGAGTAAATAAAAAAGTTGTTGTTTTTATTGTTCAGATTAAAAATCCTAGTGAACATGTTTTTTATTACATTACTGAGGGGATGGAGCAAGGAATTCAATTTCATACGTAATTTGCTGCATTCTAGACCTCGCATAAGCCGCCAGCGCTGGCGAAAATCCTCTCATTTGTTCCGCCAGGGCCATACAAAAATGGTGATTAGCATCTTTTATTTCAGTTGTTCTTGCTGAGAGGTACCCAAGCTAGGCATCATCCACTTTGTCTTAGAGCCTGGCCTCTTTAGATGATGGAGGACAACCCACAGCTCGCTTGTCTTTGGATGACTTTCCGCTATCATGTTTAACGTTGTCTTGGTAATCTGACTTCTCGTCTTCTGCATCCGGCGCCTGAGTATTCGCATTATCACCGTCTTGGGATGCTTGGGGAATGTCTCCGCTTGCCCTGTGTTTCAATCAAAATTATAAGACACCAATAATCACTTCTCATTATGGATTGAGCAATTACGCAGAGTTGCAAGATACGAAGGGTTCCAAGAACGTCAGCAGTTCAAAATTTTCCCACTTGTTGACCTTTCTCACTTTCTCTCCACTTTTACCCTTGTTTTGCTTCTTCTTCCTGGAGTATGTATCACGCAAATATTTCTTTTTGTATACTTCGCCTAGAAATGTGTAAATATTGCAATGAATAAACGGCGCCGTTGCATTGTAGTATAATTAAATATAAGATTAGATTTTATTACTTGATTTGCCAAGGCGTTGAGAAACCTTCATCCATATTAGCTCCTTCCCTGTATTTTTATGATCTTTGCACGACATATTGTAGATGATTGGGTTGGACCTAATCTATTCAATTAAATTTTCGACCATTACAAGCTGTCAGGCTCATATCCCCTACTGCAATATAAATAATCAAGCATAATTATAGCCAAACACTAACTGCTAACATTATTGAGAACATTTAATTAACAAATTCTTTGCTGGCCAGCCCGTTTTATCTAAAAATTCTTTGCAACGTTATTTTTCAATTGTTGCACATTCCAAATTTCCGGTGGGTAACGTTACCTTCATCCAGCACTTCATCCTCGACAAAACATTGGTCGTGGACAAGTTCACAAAGGTTATTTCTACGTCGTCTCATCTTCGTAAATAGTCGAATTTCCAGAGATTTTGCAACAGAGAGTAAATTTAAGGAACTCATTTAAAAATTACTAAAATTAATTACATTCAGAGCAAATGAGGTCGGATTTTATGTTGCATGTCTACGATATCCAATAGGGATGATTGAAGGTGAGCGAGAGAAGAAAATCGTTGACCTGCAATGGGGTTAGCGGAGTGGAGAAATTTTTTCACTTTCTGCACGGTGAAAATCATGCAGTACTGCAAACTTTAGCCTCTCGTATCTCTTTTGAATTTCCGCTAACAAGTAAATAAGTATTAAAACGTACGGTCAATCATATGTGCATCATATTACGTACATTATAGGATGTACAATCAAACATAATAAAATGTACATAATAATAATTATAGTACATACGCAAAACGGAGTTTTTTAATAAAATATGCACCAGTCAAGCCCATGCTAGTCTGGTGTCTCGGGAGAAAATTTGTCTAGTACTGACCATAGTACTATTCAAATTTCCAAGAAGATCTGGAACAGCAAGATATTCTCTTATCATTGTTGCTAATCTATGAAATTGATCATCATTGGTTAAAGCTATCCGTAGTTTAGTTTGTACAAAAACTTAGGGTAAAAGTTATAGGAAATCTACAAAAATATTTAATCCGATCCGTAATCCGATCGACTGCCTCGGATTGATCCGATCAATCCGATCCTAATCCGCTGATTTCGGATTGGATCGGATTTATTCGGATCGGATTGCCACTCCTACAAGAATCCATTGAATAAGAAAGTATGCAAGTATTTGAAATTCGGTGGATTACAATGACTTGTCTCACGCTTTAGTTAACCCATACTTGTGAAAATCACAGAAATCACAAAAATCACATTAAATCACAGAAATCACAGTAAATCACAGTGCGATGTGATTTATGTCCCTGTGATGTGAAATTTGCATCCCTGACACTAGGACTGTTCACGAGCGAGTTAAACGGGCTATCGGGCGAGCTCAACCCGACTCGATTATAATCAAGCGAGCCGAGCCACGAATCGAGCGGGTCGAGCTAGCTCGATTATTAATTCGCATTATTTACAAACGTATGTTCATACTGCTAAATATTAAAATTTAGCGTTTTTATCGGAAAGCACTAAATGCTAGAAATCGCTAGAAATTTCGAAATTAAGTTAGTATTGGAAATTCATCATGAAATAGTATCAAAAATTGAATTTGCCTTGCTTATCAACTAGGTTATCCATTACTTCAGATAACCATAAAATGTTAGCAAAATAAATTTAGTGTACATATTTAATTAGAAAACTTATTCTAAATTATGATTTCATAATTTGATGAACATCTTGTGGATATCTTAATCGATTGATAACCTCAAAGATAAGCAATTAAGAATTAATTCTTCATGAAAAATTGTTAATATTTTGTAATTTTTGATAAGGTCTTGATAAGCATTGCACTGATAAGCATAAATTTTTTAATACGACATAATTAAAATTTGTAGAACATTGAATGACAATAGGGAACTTGGGCAAATGGAACGCAAACGGATTTTTTCAACGTAAACGGAAAATTTTGACTCCCGCTCGAAATTGGCTCCTACTCTTCAACTTTGCGTTTACGTTTCCGTCTAAAAACGCAAACGTAAACGTTAAACGACACCATTTTTCGTTCAACTTTGCGTTTGCATGCAATTTACCAAAAAATTCACCAAAAATCCAATTTTGATCGGATTTTCATAATTTTTAAAGTTTTGTGATCCTAGATAGTTGTTCCATACAATCCAATATCAAAATCAACATTTTTTGGGGAATTTTATATTTTTAAGAGGATAAAAAATTTCAAAAAATTTCAAATTTCGAAAAAGTTGATTTTGATATTTGGGGTGATAGATCAACTACCTTGGACAAAGAAAATGCAAAAATCATTAAAATCCGATCAAGATTGGATTTTTGGTGAATTTTTAACGTGACCAGTTCAGTGTTGGGCACCATTTAAGGGGTGTGGCGGGCGTAAAACGCCCACTGACCTTAACCCTTCATCACTTTTCATACACTCATTAGGTCCTAAACATATCCAAAAGTCATCAAAGGTTCGCTCATTGTCGGCCTCAGAAATGTAATTTGACTGTAGCAGTGATTTTTCCGTTAAATTTTTCGGTGAAAAAAATCCGGCCCACACTAAAATTTTGAACTGAAAACGTAAACTCAAAAATTGGCTCCGCCCCCTGGTTTTCCGTTCACGTTTACGTTTGCGTCCATGTGCCCAAGTTCCCTAATCATAATAATCTATCCAAATATTAAACACATTATATATTTACAGCTTACAAAGTGAGCATTTAGTATTATGGTGACATAAATATTGAGCATATGTTTTCTGCACTGTGGCCTCTCATTCACATTTCTCAGCTCACGAGTTGGCTCGTGAGCCAACCCGTGTATAATCGAGCTGGCTCGTTTATAAACGAGCGACTTGTTGAATGGCTCGACTCGCTCGAAACCCGAGTAATGACGAGCGGGTCGAGCTAGCTCGAACTCGTGAACAGTCCTAATTGACACTACGTACAGTTTCGTCCAAATCTGTCAGTTTTCAGTCGGAATCTCACAAACAGGAAATCAATAATTTTGAACATCCCAAATCCCACCGAGCTACGCACGCAGGATATGTCTTCACTTTCACCTGTTGCGAAGAAAGAGCACATTTCCCTGGGAAATCTATCTTTACCTTGTGTGCAACCTGTTCTTTTGTAAAGTAGATATTCACGCGAATAATGAGTCTAAATCTCATCAGTTCCTTCTCCCACTTTTTAGCCAAACCTTATCTCTCATTTTCCCCAAATATTAAAGGTTTTCACAATATTTACTATCAAAGTTAACTATGTGCGATCAATACACTGCAAATAAAGTTGAGTAAAATTGCCACCAACACAACTTTTGAGTAAAATTTACCCCGCCGATGGTAATAATTACTCAAGGTTGAGCAAAAATCGACAAAAGTTGGATAAATTTTAACCTTTATTGGATAACTTTTACTCAATAGTTGTGCTGGTGGCAATTTTGCTAAATATTGAGTAAATTTTCCTCAATTTTTTTAGAGTGTACACAATGGAGTCTGGTGACGAAGTGGGCTCAACACCAGAAATGGACAATACCCTGGACATATTGCTGTTCTTGTTGCTGTTCTTGGTTCTGCTCTCACTGCTAATTAAGTACTCTGAAACGTCCGAATGGGTGGCATTCCGTAAGCTAATTGGATTAAAACTGTTCTATTTTATAACAAATATTAAATAATAATGGGATATTGCAGTTGAAAATTCTCCGTCGATACCAATTGTCGACAATGCTGTCCCATATCCAGTTACGGGTCAATTTTGCGAAACACAGGGTCGCCTGGTTTTCTAAATTTAGGATTAAAGCTCATGTGCCAATGGGCGGCATAAGATTTAGTTTGCGACGTTTTTTATATCAGAATTTCATAAATTCCTAGACTCCACAAAAGCCAGTCATCTCAACAGAATACATGAAAGGTGACAAAGCTATGAATAAATTTAAAGCTTTACTCCCCATTTAGTTGCATAAAGCCTTTACTTAAATAAGTGCTTATTTCTTCGCTCAAGCGCAAATGTTTCCAAATCTTTAAAAATCATTCGCACCCAAATCCATGCGTAATAAGTTGTCCTGTTATTTCCACTTACAAATGTCGAAATGTAATTTCTTCATAGTTTTCGGCACTTAAGTTTAACAAAAGGGTACACGCTAAATAATGATGTATACAACCACTTGAGGAAAACGAAATTGTGGAAAATTTGCTCAACCTTGATGATATATTGCTATAATGAAGTATAAAAAATAGTCAATTAGCTTGTACAAAATTTATTTTACACAGTCTTGGACAAATTTTATTCAAAAGTTTAGTTATCATGATTTTACTCAATGTTGTAAAAACTTTGCATAAATTCCTGAGTAATTGTTGTACAACATTGGGGAAGTATTGACCAACTCAGTTGGCTGTTTAACGCTCATTCAATCTGGGGAGAATTTACTCATTAAGAGAGCAAAATCATACCACACATTGAGCAAAATTCAGTCAAATGTTGTGGTGGTTCAGCCCGTGCGGCGGTCTTTGTCAGTTGGAAGCACGAGACCAACAGAACCAGTCAAAAAGAATTAATTTTGCCATTTTGAGTTGCAAAATTAAATTTACGCCAAAATGGGTGATTTTGTTGAAAAAGTTCTCGAGATTGCAGGGCTGGTGGAACTCATCGCAACATTCAAAGGTAAAACTTAATTGTAAATCAGTATTAATTAATTTAATAATATTTTTTTTCAATCTTGCAGATCAAGACGTGGACGAAAATGTGCTTCGCAAACTGCCAGATTGCCAAGTCGGATCGCTTGAAGAGCGTCTTTTAGCTGATATCGTTCCATCAATTGGACGGAGGCTAAAAATTATTAATGCAATCAGGGAAGTCGCCGCCGTAAGTACCCTTCAAAATAAACGACTGTTTAATTGTAGCATTTGCAAATCAAATTTCCAAGAATTCAATACATATTGGAATCATTTAATAAGTTTTCACGAAATTAGTAAAGGAACGGCTAGAATTAATTGTCCTTTGTGTTCTACAATTTTTACTAGCACCGAGACACTTAAAAATCATGTAAAACTCTTTTGTCCAAAGAATAGAAGTAGATCAGTAAATTCAAATCTAGCTATACGTCAGGATATTTCTCAAATTACTGAAGAGGAAATTGGACCTAATTTGTTGGCAGATATTACTACAGACTATAAATTAGCTTTTGTCAAAACACTACAAATGTCGGGTTCAATTTCATTAGTAAAGTCAGCTGAAATTTTATCATCTGCAAATTCTCTAGTAAATAGCATTGTCGATATTGCTAAAAATTTTGTTAATAATACCACTGAGAAAGATGATTTGCTAATTAAGCTGAATACACTAAAAGATCCTTTTCATAACTCAAACTGCTCTCAATATTTAATTGAGAAGAGTTTGAAAGATCAAAAAATTTATAGTGAGGCAACCGAAATTAAACTTGGGTCACATTTTAAATTCGATGTGGCAGCTGGGTCGGTAATAGAAAAGTTTGATTTCATGTATTATTTTGATTTGCGGAAAAGCTTGCCAATAATATTGTCTCATTATAAACTTGTATGTAATTTTGTGTTAGACGACAGTAATAATTTCAATCTTTTCTTAAATTTTAAATCTGGAAAATACTTTAGAAAATTGGACGGAAATCCCCTTTGCTTGCAAATTTACTACGACGATATAGAAATTTGCACTCCACTTGGTGCCAAGGCTAAAATACATAAGTTGGCAATGTTTTATTTTATAATTGCAAACTTTCCACCTCACTTCAAATCTCAGTTGTCAACCATTTTTCCTCTTTTAATTGTAAAGTCAAAATTTTTGAAGGAATATGGTATCAACAACATATTGAAACCAATGGTCGATGAATTTAAAAATTGTCTGTAATTAATCCACAAGATATTTTGTTAGAGTTGCCATTCACACACGTAGTTTTGCTCCAAGTTTGTGGCGACAATTTAGGCCTACATTCCCTACTGGGATACACGGAAGGGTTTAATGCTAATTACAGGTGTAGATTTTGTAAAGGTAACAAGCATTTTACCCAAACCGCTGTGGAGGAAGAGATATCACTACGTCGGAATATTGCTAATTATAGCTCGGATTTGGTGCTTGGCGACATTTCTTTAACCGGGATACGAGAGGGGTCAATTTTAAATGAAATTTCCTATTTTCATGTCACTGAAAATTATGCCCCAGATATTATGCATGATTTTTTTGAAGGAATATGCATAATGGAGTTAAAATTAGCATTGGACTATCTGATAAAGACCAAGAAAATTACTCTGCAACAAATTAATCATCAGATTTCTACCTGTTTCAAAAAGAATAGTCATAAAGTAAACAAATTTCCTGAAATAAGTCAACAATTTATTTGTGATGAAAAGAAATCTTGTTTCTCTGCATCAGAAATGAACAACTTTTTTCTTGTATTTCCGGCAATTTTTTTGGCTTATTTTGACGATGACAAAATGCTAAATTTAATTTTGAAATTAAGAAGAATTATACGAATTATTATGGCACCGTTAATTTCCCGTGAAGGTGTATCACTTTTGCGATATTTAATTTCTGATTACCACCAGCTCTATATTAATTTGACTGGTAATAATCTAACTCCAAAATGTCACCACATTTTACACTACCCTCACGCAATTGAGCAGCTGAGTCCGTTAAAAAATTTTTGGTGCATGAGATTGGAAGCAAAGCATCGCTTCAGCAAAATTGTGGGGAAAAATTCTTACAACTTCAAAAATATAGCAAAATCTGTATCAAAACGGTTATCTTTGAATATGGCATTTTCCATTAATTCTTCGAAAGGTGACGGAATTATGCAAATTAAATTTGGTGGAGGAGTTAGAATAAGGTTGGATGAATTAAAAGGAAATTTTGACTTTTCATTACTAAATATAGGTAGCGAGGAAATAATTTTATCAATCGAGTTTGTAAGTGCGAAAGGTACAATAATTTCTCGTCATAAATATTTCATTCTAGGGAGTAATGAGAATCAGCTTCAATTCTGCCAAGTTGAACTTTGTTTTGTGCACGATGATCAAGTTTATATTTGTGTTTCTCCAATTACTTGCGTGGAATTGCTTCACAATTCTTATCTCTTTAAAGTAACTGGTAAAAAAACGGCAATAATAATTAAACCTGAATTATTAGATTTGGAGCACCCGTTGATTGTGGCAAATACGAGCTCGGAGTATGACGTAATATGTTGCCCGATAGAATTAGTTTAGATTAATTTTAGCATAAATTAATTTTAATTTAATTTTAGGATTAAATTAATTTTGTTGTTTAGCTTTTTTTGTACAATAATAGAAATCCAGTGAACAGCAGCTGGCATCGAGAGACGAGGAAAATATGTACAAATTAGTGCTGGTAAGAAAGGCATCTTATATGTTTCATATATTGTAATTTTGTAATATAGTATGGTGATATTGGTTGTTTCTATTTTTAGATTAATAATGAAGAAACATTCTCACAATCCAATAACAATTTTGAGCAAGAATCTATTTGCTCCGTAAACATTTCTGAGGGCGATAAATGTTTGTCACTGTCAGATCAGTTATTTGTGAGTAACGAAGTAACAATTTGGATGGTCACATAATTTTAATTAGTTAATTAATTTCGTGTATTTTCAGAATGTTAAAGAAATTGTAGTCCAAACAGATCGTGAAAAAGGTACGGCCAAAGGACAGGAAATGTTGCAACTAATTATTAGCCAAGGGATGGCGTCGTTCCAAGTCAAAAGTTTAATTAAGAGGCGCACAGTGAATTATCTCATCAGAAACTATTCCAACTAGTAAGTGTCTACATACATTTATGTTAAAATTGATTCTTTAGTTAGTAGGTATAGTAATTTATTTTATTTATAGTCCACCTCGCCATGTTAAGAAAAATCTAGCTGAGTGCATCTCCTCACAATTGTTTGGGCACCTCGCCGAACAGCAGCAGATTGATATTAAAGTAAAACCAAATTATATTTATCTATAACATAATTTGTATGAATATTAAAATATATTTTTTGCAGAGCTTATTCTACAGTGACGCCAAGTCAATTGACACAGAGGAAATGGACCAGAAAGGGCGAATCATTTACAAAAATATTCCAGCGACAGGATTGATCGAGGACCGATTAAAATACTTGCGAAATAAAAACTGTATTTCAATTCGGAAGAAGCCAAGAGTCCTCGACTCTATTACTAATGGTAAATTTAACATCAAACTAAAATTGTTGTATACCTTTTTGTTATAAATAATAATCCAAATATTTGACAGATCCTACTGTTGAGGAATACGAAATGAAATCCTGGCTGTCTAACTCAAAATCACCTGCATCTCAGGTGCTGCAATACATGAAGGACACCTTTAATTTGCGAAGTCTAGAATTAAAAAATACAACCAATTTGAGTAACACTTTACAAGAGTGGCCACATCTTCTTGAGACATCTGGTGTGGTAAGTATAATATGGATAATAGAAATAAAATAATAAATGGTTAGCTTTGAAAGTTAGCATTGATATTGCTCCTTTAAAATTCCTTAGATTGACCAGGACTTTGAAAGATTGAATCCCGGGAAATCGGAAATTATGCTAAGGAAGTGGCCTAGCATCGCCAAACAAATTTGCGAATTCGCCGAGAGGTCTCAAACCAAAGCAATAGCTGAGTCAGGAATTAAAAAAATGTTTTCAACATTATCATTGGGTAAGTGTCAGAGCTGTTAGATAATTAATATTTGCAATAATATATATTTATATAGTTAATCAATTAATTATTTAGATGAGATTACAATTGCTGCATTTGTGATGTTGCCGTATCTGACCTCGACATCAGCTTATAAGAAGAGAGGAGCAAAGAAAGTCAAAATATCAGCTGCGGCGGCTGCTGACTTTTTTATTCAATTTGTATCTGTAAGTGCAATATTGTTTAATATGTATAACATGAAGCAAAATTTGTATCATTTTCTTAAATACGCGTTTGTTTGACTCAATTCAGAAAACTTTTGATTTGGAGTCGTTCAAAGCCAATGAATCGGAGCGACGTCAACCGTTTGTTGTTTGTGTTGGAGATTTGGCAAACCTTATAATTAAGGATGTTTACGTTATGCTTGAGCGAAAATTAATTAAGTCGCCGACGATAATTTCTGCCGTAGATTTATGTTTTAAGTTGTTCCATGTTTTAAAACTTAAGTTCCCCGATGAATGTTACCCGGTCTGGTCTTTCTTTGATCACACGGTCTACCAGATAAACGAAATTGTATCTCCACCTGCATCAGTATTAGCTTTAGGATCTCATATTATTGTTTAATTAATTTTGCATGTATGTGTAATAATTAGTTACAATTTAAATTGTGTTCATGTATTTAAATTTATCAGTATTCGTTTTTGTATAAGATTGTATATTTAATTCGGAATAAAAACACTAAAAAAATAATTAATCAGACGTTGTTGAAGTTTAATTCAATATTATGCTAAAATTCATCCAATTAATTGCATAAATAATTTGCAAGTGAGTTGAGCATAATTCATTCAAGCATTTGAGTAAACTTTTGTCAGCAAGTTGATTAAAATTTGCCCAATTCAATAGTAGAGAACGCTCATTATAGTTGATCAAATTTTACTCAACATTGGTCAAAATGAATCACTCAAGTGGCTTGAGGAAAATTTAACCAAGACTTGTTTCCATCACTTTTTTCCTCAGGGTTGATCAAAATATTACTCAAGGTTGGGCAAAATTTGTACATTTTTTCTTAGTGTGTAGATTAGAGGTGAACACCACAGCCTGTTGCATTTTACGTACCGTCGTGATTTTGGGTTTCCGGTTGTTTATCTTATCGTATTTTGCTTAAAATGAGTTCAACTGGGAAGGATGGTGGTGTAAAAATCTGTTACATAATATATGCACGTTCCCTTAATAAGCCAAACTTTCGCAAACTTTTCAACATATTTTGGTTATTATTTCTCGGATTAGTAAAATAGAAGTATTTATGTGCATATGCCTATTATATAATACTTTAGCCCTGACTCGGGCTGATAAACCATACAATTCATCAACTCGCAATAACGATAAGATCAGCAATGTCTGTAAAATGTACGAAAAACATGTAGGTATATATACTTATGTATCTCAATACACGTAAGTATAAAGTTTGTACATTATGTACCTTCTTATAACATGTCAATCCGTACATATGTATGCTATGCGAAATTCATATATGCAAATCTTTTACAGCTGGAAAAAATTCAAATTTGTGCTTCATGTCTGAAAAACATGAAAAATACATTTTGACTTACACAATTATTATGTTTCTACTGCTTTGCAATATTTAGTTATGTTTTTACGACTAGTTCAGGGTCGCTTTATGAGACTGTATTTTGGAAATGTATTTTGAAATGTATTTTTGTATTTTAAATACATTGATCGACATTCAAAATTAGAAAATACAAAATACAAAATACCCGGCAAGGTTAAAAATACAAAATACAAAATACTTTCCCCTGAAACTTGTCCCTCAAAATACAAAATACAAAATAGTATTTTGTATTTTGTAATTTGTATGCTGTATTTTAAATAGTATTTTGTCCAACCCTGATAATTAGTGATATAAAATTAAGCAATATTTTATTTAGAGTGTGTCTCATAAGTTTTAGGAAACGTGAAGTTAGGCATTACATATTCATAAAGGCATATGTAGGAACATATAAGTATATGGTGCACCTAGGTTACGATATTTTTAGTTTTCTCTGGGCTCGGTTATTTTAGGATGAGTGGGTACTCATTGTACAAAGTTGGCCACTCTGTGCATGACGTCAGTTACATCACATCTTGCTCTTCCTATCCTACACGGATGTCCATATTAGGTTATTTTATTTTTAGAGATTTGGCATGAAGTCATAGTCTTCCATTTAAGTGTATTTATTCTTAGAAATTATGCCGGTTCCCCAATTATATCATACGTACGTCAGAACATCACCCCATCTAGTGCAGTCCATTTATGGTCACCAACCCAGAGATTTATTTTGAGATTCATGCTTTCCTCGAAGGCAAACCCCAGATTAGTACCACATTTCGGAACAATCTCTCAGTCGCTGTCTAGCACTCAGGCGAGATCCATGTCAAATTCAGAGGAGTCACAGCATAAGAGAATAAAATCAGAAGTTTTAGTTTCGGTTTCTCCAATCAGAACTCGTTCCAAAACACGAGGTAAGCTTCCTTTTCCCCCTAATAGGGACCCTGTTTCCTTAGAACTACCACCTCAGCACCAGAGCATATTAGTCTCCACCCTTAAGTCCCTCAAGGGCTGGCTATTCAGTCCTTCATCAGCTTCAAGTGAGAGAGAGCCGGGTCCTTCAGGTCCCTCAGTCCTTCACACCCCTTCTACTCCTAACTCACCCACGGCAAAACAAGTACAAGCTGAAAAACCAGGTCCTTCAGTCCCTCAGACCCCTACGACTTCCAAGTTGATCTTTGCAGACAAATTACCAGGAAAAGGTTCAGAAGATCCACTCGGAGATCATGAAAAATTCTTAAACCCCAACATTAATTTAACCTCTTTGGTACCCCCTTTACGGAAAAGGCAACGAAAACTGACCCTTGGTCCTCAACCCCCAACCGCCCCGACAATTTGGGACAATCCTCCGGAATATTCAACGCTACCTAAATTATCAAAGGATTTTAGTCAAATTCAAAATAATCAATTCAATACAAGATTGCCAATTCTTCCGGAAACAACAAAAACAGTGAAATTCAAAGCAGGAAAAATTGTACCCAAACTATTAGAGCGAATAGAGGAAGACATTTTGGTTAATTTAGAAGAGGACGTTTCCCCACCAGAAACTGAACCCCACCCTTCGGCCCCACCGTTATCAAAAATTTCCATTGAAGAATTATTAGATCAACCAGTACCAACAGCTTCACCGGTACTTATACCTACACAAACCACATCAACCCTTGGAACAAGTAGCAATTCGACACCAAAATCAACCTCTGGGCCAAAATCAAAAGAAAAGATAGCATTCACTTCAAAAATTTTCAAGAAATCCCCCTGGACCTGGACCAACTCACCGATCAGAAATTTTAAAGCTGAAATTAAACAGGAAAGCCCCAGCTCCTGGTTCATACCAGTCACACCCGTTGAAGAAAAGGTCAGCAAAAAGGTACTAGTTAGAACACCACCCTCGAGTACAACCACACCACTTCAACGTACTCCTTCACCACCCCCTCGTCCATCTAGGAAACGTCAACGTACACCAGTAACAACCCCACGCAACCTTACTCCACCCCCACGCAACCTTACTCCACCCCCACGCAACCTTACTCCACCCCCACGAAACCTCACTCCACCCCCTCGTACACCTTCACCCCCATTAATTATTATACCTGTACCTCCACCTCTACCACCTTCTCCACCCCCTTGGATACCCAAATTTAGAAAGATAAGGAGAACTATTGCTATCCCTGGTAATATGGCAAATCCAACGCATTATTTACCACCATTCTCCCAGATTGACGTACAATTTGATGGCACCAAGACAATCAAAGAGTTTTTACAAAAGTACGAATTACTAGCCATTTCGTATGGCTGGACTGAAGCAGACAAATTAAGATTTTTCCCCAATATCTTAGAGATGGCGCAAAGTCCTGGTACGATATGTACAGGCATGCCAAAGCTAAAGCATCTAATCCCGCCAAAACATACATAGACGTTGATCTTGATTGGACTGATTTAAAAACCGAAATTACAGCTGCATTTGACATCACAGAAACGCACGAGAACATACTTAAACAACTGCGAGAGACCACTTATCTGAAGTGTGGTTCTGCTGTAAACTATGTTTACACAGTTCTTCCGTTAGTATCCAGACTAGACCCCAATATGAGCGTGGAACAGAGAATTAAATACTTGCTTAAGGGATTGCCCTCTGCATTGGCACAAAAGGTGTTTGATCAAAGACCAAAAACTGACATGGATGTCAAGGACATCCTCCTGCATCATGAAAAGTTTATTTCCATGTTTCCCCAGCATGACAATCAGAAGAAATCTGATGGAATAGAAATGACTGCACTGGAAAACAAAATAAAAGATCTAGAACTTGCAAGTCAACAGAAATATCTGCAGAAACCTTACCAACAGGGTTATTTCGGTAGACCTCCATCGCTTGGTCCGAACCGTTCCCAACCGATGGACAGAATTAATTATAGGGCATAACCGCGTGACTTTGTTTATGGTCCCCCCTTGAATTTTTATGAAAATAATAACGGTCCTAGGCAACCGCAGACTGGCAACCGTATACCAGCTATTGAATCCAATTATAGTCAGGATTCTCGAATAAATGATTATGTTAATAATGGGCAGAACTCTACCAGTGATCCCCAAAAACTTGAACTTTAGTTATTTTTCCTCAAATCAACCGCCACGAGGAGGGAAAAGAGTCACATGGAATTTCAATAGAAATGCCAATAGAAATTCAGAGCCGGAACCTGATCAACAAGGTGATGGCGCATTGTTCAACTTCATCCGTCAATATCGGGATGCACAAGGACGCCCTATTTGTTGGCGTTGTGGCAGTCCAGACCATGATAGGGTAAACTGTCCTCAAAGGAAAAGATTACTGGAGCGAGCTAAGGAGTTAGCCCGGTCTCAAACTGGAATGACACCACAGGAAAACTAACGATCCCCACCGTACTCGAGGATACTGTGGGAGCAGAAGAATACCTCGGCTTCTATAATTTAGCATCAATAGATCCCTTTTTAGCTTTCGTTAAATTACACATCACAGCTTCTAAGGCTACTAGTATTTTAGTTCATACACTAATAGATACAGGAAGTTCGATTTCTCTATGTTCACCTAAAATGGCATCACAATTTAAACCTACTCCTTGTAACTCATTTAAGGTAACCGGAGTCACAGGAACTAACCTTATAGATTCCTACATTACAATTATAATCAAATTATCGAATAGACTTTTAACTCATAAGGTATACGTAGCTCCGAATCTTTCGAGAAACTTAATTTTAGGAAATGACTTACTACACTCACAAAAATGTTTGATTAATTTTGCGAAACGACAGGTCCAAGTAGCTGGCGAAAATTTCCGTCTGTATTTAACTGATCAAGAAATAGTAAACGATGAACCCTTAGTTAATGAACTAAATCACATTGATATATCAGACAACGTTGAACCATCAGTAATGGAAATTCCTGTTATAATTCAGGAAACTTTTGTTCTAGCTTCACCAGGTTACACATCAGTACCTGTGAAATTTGACTTTGCGGAAATTTTGAACCCTTCAGGGAATTACATCTTTGAGTGGAACGAACACTTCTTAAACACTCATTGTGTATATGGGCCAGGTTTCATAGCTAAACCCGAAAAATTGACAGAAATAC